ATATTTATTCTGTTGGTTCTGCTTTTATTTTTTTTTTAAGCTGAGAGGGTTTTTGCTTGTTTGTTTGAAGTTGGTTTGTTTTTATTGAATAGATTATAAAACTAGCTGCAGGCAGTCATGTGATGTGGGCATGTGAGTTCAATTCCTTTAACAGTCTGTTTTTAATATTATGTAAATTTCTAAAAGTTTAGAGATTGAAATGATGTTTTTGGGGGAGTGTGTAAATCATGACTGGACTTTTTGGTGATTTTAATAGAGCAAGCTTCTTAAAATTTGAAAGCCAATAATTAGTACAGTGGCTCTTGATGTGGGAACTAGGTAACTAACAGCTTTGGGGTCCTCAAATCTTCTGATATTATATACATTATTTCTCTGCACATTTGAGTGTGTGTGTGTACGGTTTGTTGTGTTGTGGGGTTTTTTTTCTGGAAAGAGTCATTGCTTTTTATCAGACTCTTAAAGGACTCTAAGACCAAAAAAGGTTTAAGAACTGATTTAGGATTTCAGTCTTATGCTAATTCATTAGTCATTTTTAACCTTTCTAAAGAAAAAAGACAAAATCATCTCAAATTACTGGATAAATTGTGCTTTATTTCTCTGTGTGTGTGTGTGTATGTGTGTGTGTGTGTGTCTATTCATTCCTATTTGATCTCTAATTAAATCCATCCAATTGATGAATAGATGGAAAATGCCTGCCTTCCAAAATTAATTTCATTCCCTTCTTCTCCAACTCTGTCCAATACTCATTTAAAATGTATAATCTTCCCACATCCAAAGGATCTGGAATTATACCCTTCTTAAGACATATCAAATGCCTCCTCTTTTGAGAACTTTCTCCTGAATGTAATCTTGCCTTTCTCTGAAACACAACAATATTCCATCATAGTGAGTTTATGTGTATGCATGGGTTTGTCTTTTCTTTCTGCCATTCTCCTCCCCTTGCTTTTCTCCAAGAATTAGACTGTCACTTCCATGCTGGGACAGGAGGGGGTGGTTGGGCTTACTTGTATATTACAGTCCCCCAAATTGGACAATATCATTTTCATGGTGGTGGTTCAATAAATATTTAAGTGGAAATCAGGAACATCTTTGTTCCATATACTTTAACATTAAAACCACAGACTCAGAGTTAATAATTTTTTTGCAGATAACACTTTTGAGTGTCTTAAAGCCACTGATACATCCAATGCAACATAATTTTTTTTCTTTCTTCTAAAAACAAAAAACAAAAAACGGGATACATGTGCAGAACATGTAGGTTTGCTACACAGGTATATGTGTGCCATGGTGGTTTGCTGCACCTATTGACCCATCCTCTAAGTTTTCTCCCCTCATCCCCCACCCCCAACAGGCCCTGGCTTCTGTTGTTCCCCTCGCTGTGTCCATGTGTTGTCAATGTTCAACTCCCACTTATGAGTGAGAACATGCGGTGCTTGGTTTTCTGTCCCTGTGTCAGTCTGCTGAGGATGATGGCTTCCAGCTTCATCCATGTTCCTGCAAAGGACATGATCTCATTCCTGTTTATGGCTACATAGTATTCCATGGTGTATATGTACCACATTTTCTTTATCCAGAAATATTTTTATTTTCTAATACTATTGAATTCAGGCTCAAATGCCTCATCAGTAAAAATAAATTCCTATTTTAAAATATATCTTAATACATTAAAGCATGTGAAGCTAATGGTTGCTGGGTTTGGTCAGGAGTTCTGGGTGATAGTGCCTGTGACTAGAGTCATGAAAAATCATAGCTCAAAGTCAGAGCTGCCAGGAACTCAGGTCTAGCCGAGTGTGCCCCTTGGAGCCCTCACAGCTTCACTGACATGTCTTTGGGGACCTGGGTGGGAGATGGGACAGCCCTACTCCCCCAACCAAAACAGCTCTGTTTTAGTTGCTTTATATTTGAGCTCTGGAATGCATTGAAATTTGCTAAGTGTCCTGCTAAAGTTAACCAGACTCTCCTCTCTCCCCTCCTTGGCTGGTCCCTGATTTTACACCTGAGGACACTGAGGTCATCCAGAGTTGTAGCGTGATTGTCTCAGGTCATGTGCTTGTGAAAGCCCAGCTGGGAACCCAACCTAGTCCCAAGTATCCTGCCTTCTGGCCCACAATTCTCTCCTCCTCCTCCTTGTGGCGCCTCCAAGTGTTCCTCCACTTTATAGGGGTCACTTGGAGATCATCAAGAAACATTGAGTGGGAGCTCTGTATCAGGTTCTGGGGATGCAAAGAGAGCTGAGACATGCTACAGCAACCCCTGGCACCAGTATCTCCTCTTTTTCTCTAATAGTGGTGCTTTCCAGATAATTCTGTGTCTAATGCCTTACACATAAAACAGCATAGCTGCACAGTCGAAGTGTTCTAAAGCTGGATTATGGTGATGGTTACACAACTGTATAAATTTATTAAAACTCATCAGATTACCACTGATTTTTCTTGGCATTCCTCTTGCAGTTGAAATATTATTTCAATAGCACCAAACACTGTACTGACGTCCAACAAAGATAAAATTGTTAGAATGGCAGGGGCAACTGTCTTCCTCAAGTCTGCCTGTCTGTCTCTCCGTGTCTCTCTCTTTCTCTCTCTCTCTCTCTCTCTCTCACACACACACACACCAGGAAAAAATATCTAACAGCTTCTCCCACCCCCAACAGTTTTCCTCTCACATCTCATTGGCTGGAAATAGAGCACATGCCCATCCCTAAACCAATCACCCACAAAAGAGTGAGATTAACATTATTTGCCTGGACATATTTTGCTTTATCCCCAGGGCTGTGAGAGGGTTCCATGTTCCTGAATATAATGCTTGAACAAATTAGGATTCTGTGAACTAGGAAGAGGGTGGGGGAATGTCTCCTGGGATGTTAACCAACAGTCTCTGTTACACTTCATTAACTTTTTTTTGACTGAAGGGAACAGAAACATGACCTGTTCCTTCTTTCTTTGTTGGCTGTGGGTTTCTGTATTCTTTGTAAAAATGGCTCCATGATTTCCATCCAAATAATTATTCTTTTTTTTTTTTTTTTTTTTGAGACGGAGTCTTGCTCTGTCGCCCGAGCTGGAGTGCAGTGGCCGGATCTCAGCTCACTGCAAGCTCCACCTCCCGGGTTTACGCCATTTTCCTGCCTCAGCCTCCTGAGTAGCTGGGACTACAGGCACCAGCCACCTCGCCCGGCTAGCTTTTTGTATTTTTTTAGTAGAGACGGGGTTTCACCGTGTTAGCCAGGATGGTCTCGAACTCCTGACCTCGTGATCCGCCCGTCTCGGCCTCCCAAAGTGCTGGGATTACAGGCTTGAGCCACCGTGCCCGGCCCAAATAATTGTTCTTAAAACCAGGACTCTGTAGTGCAGTTCTTCAGTAATACTGTGTTTGTGTTGTTGTAAGTTTTGAGGTTGGCAGTCATGTTTCACTAGCACAGTCAATAGGAAAATTGGTGAGGAGCTGTCATTATCCAATTTAAAGATGTTTTAACTTTTTCTGTCTCTTTAGAACATTTGACCAATTCAGATTTGGGGAGGTTTGCTATTACTAAGTAAAGAGAGATAGAACATTGGTAACTGTGTGGGTTTAGGAATATGGTATTGATGGGATTTAGAACTATTGCCCCTCAGCACAGGTTAAGGGGCACAAGCCATCAGAGGCCCAGAATACCTAAGATGGAAAATTTCCAACACTAGGATAGGGAATGTAACTAATACCTTCAAGCCATTGTACAGAATATGAAAACAACTGCACAAAAGCAAAGTGAATACTGCCTCTCCTCCCTTCATTCTTTCCCCTTCCTCCCTCTGTTCTCTGTCCTATCCCAACCCTAGACCACAGTGTATCTGTATTATGAATTTCTTAATTGCTTTTATTTTACATGTCACAATCTCTGGTTGTTGGGATGTTAACCAAAATAAAGAAACACATTTCAGTAATATAAATTACACTAGGGACAGTATAATTGTCATCAAGAGGTTACCTCTAAGACATAGCTCTAGGTTGTGATCCGTCTGCAGAAATGGGCCTGATGCTTGGGAAATATCTAAGGCCATTCAAAGCCATTAGGTTTGTTGACTTTGATGCAGAATAATCGATGCCTCTCCCAGTAGATACTAATTATCATGAATTTTTCTTTCCACCTTCTGTCCTGAATCATGAAAGCCTAGTTTTCCAAGTCTCCATTTCTGAAATACTTTACAAATGTTTTCACTATCTTCATAATTTGTGCTTTTAGATAAATAGAGATGATTTAACGGCACATAGACTTTCAAAGGCATGTAATTCAGAACATACTTAAATTGATTTTTAGTGGCCTTAGTAGTTTTCCCTCTTTGGTGAGGGCTATTGTATCTCTTTGCTGAGGAACAGCCATCTATGCATAGGGAGGTTCCCACAGAAAGGCCATGGGACATATTTGAACAAGCTCACCCCCACACATATGTGTGTAAAGAATGTTCAGTCAATACTTGTTGGCTGTTTATGGTTGGCATGTGCTTACACAGAAATACATTGACGTTTGTCTCTTAAGACATACCATAATGGGGTAATTTTTTATTGTTTTATGTACCCTGATAGCTTTGTAACATATATAAACACCTTGTTTCTAATTGAGTAATGTGTGGAAAAAGGCAGTGAGGCAAAACTTAAGGTTTTTTCTGCCCTCTGTAGACTATATATGTTTATGCATGCACTTGAAGAGTGTATAAAATGGTATACATCTGTTTTCCTGAGTAAGGAAACCTTTTTACTTTTCTGCCAGAGAAAAGTAAAGCAGTCAGTGGCATCTCATGATGTCACATGATTTGTAAGGGGAAAAAATGGAAGCCAATAAATATACATGAGCCAAAAATGAGCACTCTCGGGTCATTTCCTGAGGGTCACCCTTTCTTCATGCAGCAGTAATATGCTACCTGTTAAGTGTGCCTTTCCCTGAACTTAATGTGATAGAGAACATTTTCTCCTGGGCCAGCTCATTAGATAAAGCATTTTAAAGGTTATGTTTTCTGTTTTTCTTATAGGCAAGGATTACTGCAAAGTAATATTTCCATATGAGGCACAGAATGATGATGAATTGACAATCAAAGAAGGAGATATAGTCACTCTCATCAATAAGGTAAACAAAGGTTGTCTCCTACCTTCTACACCGCAAACTGCTTTAGGGTATTGACTGGACAGTACAAGCTTTTGCTTCAGCGCTTGAAAGCTTGGTTTTCTCGGTCCTGAACTTGTGAGGAAGAATTTTGCATCTTTCCTTTTGATCAAGCTAAGCCCAGCATCCAGGTGAATGCATTCCTTGAGACGAGAATAGATTTATTTGCCTTAGGGCCAGCTGCAGATTTGCATGGTCCTTCAGAAAAGTCTGTTCCAGAAGGAATAACCCAAAAGGCAGCCTGCTTGGCTGGAGATCCTGCCCTCCACAGCAGCCAGGTTGCAGAGCTCTGTGTCCTGAGGTATTGGAGGAGGAGTTTTTTAAAAAGGCTGGTCATGCCTCACAGGCAGAAAACGCTTAAAGAATGTTTGCTGTTCAGATCAAAGACAGGTAGAGTGCCTGAGAGAATTTTTCCTGTCTCCTTTGGGCTAAGAAGGTTGAATGATTTTATTATTATTAGAGCCAGAGCCCTGTAAATAAACAGAGAGCTATAAGATCTGTGTGAAGTGATGCAGTTGAACAAGGGCCTTGGCTGTGTACTGTATGTGCTTTCATTCTGTGGTACTCACCAAGTAGGTGGTTGAAAGATACATTATTTAAGCAATACCTAGAATATATGACTTTTTCTCTGAAGAACAGCATTTTTGTGATGGTCAAATATGGTGAGAAGCTGAACGATCTTGAAGATGTGTATGGTGGTTTTATTTATTCAGGGGAGTGACAGGGAACTTAGTACAGTTACCTTAGCACAAGTGTGACTTGGGAGATGATTGTGGCTGCCTGCGCTCTCCCAGGGCTGGGAAGCCTTGGCAGGGTGGAGGATGCAGGGAAGGGGAAGAGATTGCAGGTACATAGAGTTGGGGTAGGCCCAGGGTCCCGCCAACTCTGACCATTACTGAGAGGGTGGGGACTGTGGTGTCGCCTGACCCTACCCCTCCCTCAAGGCTTGTCCATAAGGTGATCAGTAAGATTTACCTTTGTTATCAAGAGGTTACCTCTAAGACATGGCTTTAGAGATTGTGTGTTTTAAGAGCCTAATCCAAAGATACCAGGGAACTAATGACCCCAGAAGTTAAGTAGCTTGCCAAAGGTCAGGAGTTTTAGGGAGAAAGCTGGTCCTCTCATGGACTCCATATGTCAGTGGTATGGAGTATATAATGCTTTCTGGAATAGCAAATCATTCCCTGTTTTGCAGATCATCCAAGAACTCGTCCATCTTTTTACCTGTAAAGTATTCTCCCCTGAAGTTATTTCGGTATGTCTCTGTTGAACATGGCAGGAGGAAATGAGGGGAAGAATGCTTCCCTTGTTGTTTTCTGCAAATGAGGCAGAAATGGTTCTTTTCTGTCTCTTTCAGATTGCTTTCTGATACACAGTGCATTTCCTATTTTTAATCAGACCTGTAACCAAACAAGCGGAATAAGGAAGTTGTTAAATGGGTGTGAAGCACAATATGAATGCTATAATAATTAGCACAGATAATTTGGTTTTAGAAATGCTGGGAAAGGACTAGAGCGATTTTTTCCCCCTTGATGATAAAGTGACCAGAGAATTAAATAACTGCTATTCTTTGCAGTTGGTTGGCGGGGGACTCACTAGCCTGTTTTTGTTTTGTCTTTGGAAGAGAGGAAGCCTCTTTTTAGTTGAAAACCTGATATGTCAGTAATATTTAATGAGGTTTGAGAAAAGAAACACATCTATTTCTGTTTTAACATATTTTACTCCAGTCCTTCCAATTGAATACATATCATAATTAGAACACATTCATCTTGATGATTTTGCTCCTAACCTCCCAGCCTGAGATCCAGTCTGATAAAAATTAATGTGATTTTTCTAATGACCTTAGTCAGAAAGGGAGTATCTATCGGTCCCATCCACATGGTACAGATAAATGAACAGGTAGATGTGGCAGGCTGCTTTCAAGAGTGTCCTGAAGGTTATGTCCCATTTCTCTAGTTTCATAGATTAATGTATCTGGAAGCAGTTTAGAAACTGAAGCAGTGCACTGCTATTAATATTATATTTACAAAACATGACATTGTCATCTCCGCTGTACACTTGGTCTCTTGACCTGACTTTCACACTGATCCGACTCCTCAGGCCTACAGTTCTCATATCACCATTTTGACACTTGGTCCTCCTAGTCGCATCCTGCTCCCACCCCCAAGCCTTTCTCCATCCCTGCCACTTCCTGCCCTGCAGAGCTGAGCACAGGCTTGAGTCGTTCTGCATCTGTCCAGGCCAGGTGAGCAAGGACCAGGCTTCCTCCATCTTCCTTTCTCTAGCACCAACCATAGCACCTGGTCAGGAGGAGAGCCTGGGATGGTGAAGGATGGAGGGATGTTTCCTCCTGCTCCAGTGTCCCCTACCCACTTCATCCCTAGCACCTCAGCCCCTTCTTTTTGTCATTCTCTAACAATGCTGTGCTCACTTACCCTTCTGCACCAATCAAAATCTTTAGTAACTTTCTTTTTCTTTGTTGTAAAATCCAGATAGATGATCCTAGCACTCCTTCACCTGGCCTGACCTTAGTCTGTCTTGGTGGCCTTGGTCCATGTGACTGTTCTGCAGGTACCCCCCGTATATGCCCCTCCTGCTCATGTGTCCTGACTAACTTGACTCAGACCATGTTCCTGATGCCCGAGATGACCTCCACCTACCCACATCGCTATTTTTTGTTTGTTTTGTTTTATTTTGTTTTTGAGACAGCGTCTTACTCTGTTGCCCAGGCTGGAGTGCAATAGTGTGATCTCAGCTCACTGCAACTTCCACCTCCCGGGTTCATGCGATTCTCCCACCTCAGCCTCCTGAGTAGCTGGGATTATAGTTGTATGCCTCCACGCCTGGCTACTTTTTGTATTTCTAGTAGAGACGGGGTTTTACCATGTTGCTCAGGCTGGTCTCGAACTCCTGACCTCAAGTGATCCACCCGCCTCAGCCTCCCAAAGTGCTGGGATTACAGGCATGAGCCACCACAGCCGGCCTAGCCACTGCACCCGGCTTCCAGTTTGCTGGGGGTTTTTTGATAGCTAATCACACAGCCAGTCTTAACTCATGCTGCTTGGGCCCATTTAGAGCTTGCTGCTTAAGAAAATCCTTTGGGCTCTATCATTTTGCTTCTATTATTTTTTTATACAACCTGCTGGGAAATCAGATCTCTTGCTATCCCGTGCTTGTGTGGATTTTTACTTTATTTCCATAAAATGCCTACCAGCCTTAACCTAGCATTCCATTTTGCTGGAAGTGATGTGTTCAGATGACAAGTGCCATGTAGGCCACCAGCTCCCATAACCAGGGTTTGAATCCCAACTCCACTGCTCTTGGCTGTGTCTCTTTGGGCATGTTGCTTACCCCCTCTGAGCCTGAGTTTCCTCAGCCATAAAGCAAGGTCCATAAAGCTGACCTCACAGGGCTGCTGCAAGGATTTACTCTGGCAGGGAGCGGTCTGTCAGTGGCACCCATAATTCTAGGAATTGTCACTCAACCCTGGCTGCTCTTTCTTGGGCCTTGGAAATGGGAATGGAAGGGCTCTTGTGTCTGAGCCCAGTTTGCTGCTGAGGCTGGAATGCCATGACGTTAAGTAGGTTAAAATGGTGAAAAATCCACCTAAAAGCGTTAAGTATTCACAGTGGAGGAGATTTTAGCAAGAATTTGGAAAGAAAACATGCCATAAATATTTTGCTTGCTGAAAGTGAGAAGAATGGAGTCGGAGCCTGTAAAACCCTGCTGACATTATAGAAAATTGTTACTCTTCCTCTAAGTTAGGAATCGCCCAGAAGTTCATTGAGATGATTGTATACTATTGCTATTACAAAATGAATGGTTTCACCATGATCTGTTTAATATGCATTCTGATACGCATATTTATTGGATGTAGGAGTTGAGGTGAAAGACCTGAATTGCCGTTCTCTAAATTCTGTGTTCGCCGTAGAGGTTCCTGATAGACCCCGAGTTCCTCTGACATTTACTTTGGTGTCAGTGAAGGTGGTTTCCCTTTGCCCTGCTTTTGTATGCTGTAGCGGGAGTCACAGAGCAGGCTTTGCCCTCATTTTTAGCCCTAGATTGTCAGTTCATGTGGCTTTCTAGAAAATGAGTCAGACACCTTTAGTGGGTGTGTATAAGCCCTCTGCAGTTCCTGAAATAATATGCAAAGACCCAAACTATTTCTGTGTGTCCCTGGAAACCAGGAGGAAATGTGCAACCTGAATGGTTTGTTTTCTAGTTTATTTATAAAGAATTTTTGTGAATTTGGGAACATTTCCACTCGTGAAGAACACACCTGTGTTTAGCTTTTATTTCCAGTCACTCAAAAATAACTCCCGTGTCTGTGTTCCTACCGCCCCCATCCCTGCCTGCCTGATTTGTGCTCAGAGTGTGTTTGAAAAGGTTCCGAAGCTTCTGGGTCTCATTCCCAACTGGAGAAGCTTCCTGGAGAAGGGCTGAGGGCAGCTTGGCAGGAGCTATGCCAGGGCTCAGCTGCAAGGGTGAGATGGCCATTGGAAGATGTCCCATGCTGTGGCTGCTGCTGCTTGGGGCAGAATGAGCCCAGCTACGGAGAGGGGCCATGTTCCCACTCTTGGCCAAAGCCTCCTGGCCTCAGAGCCACAGCTGTTCCTCACAGCTCCTGCTAACCACGGAGGGAAGGCTTCCTCCGTGATCCCTTTGTAAATAAGGACCTTTAGGTGTTTCTTATCAAACAGTCTTCCTTGGGTAGTTGTGTCTTTACCCTTAAAGCATACCCAACCCCCATGTCTTCATTGTTTTAAGCCTATTTGATGACATCAAGATCAACGCTTAGAAAGCTAACATTATTGGTCAAAATCATGGAGTCGTAGAGATGGAGGGAAGGGGACAGAGGCAATATTAGCTAGCATTAATGTTCATGGAAGGAAACTGATAGACACACTCTAGAGAAAGAGGGGACCCAGGCTGTGCTCAGTGGCTCATGCCTGTGATCCTAGCAC